TATACATTTATGATTTGTCTGATCCTGACTTCTCCCCTTTAAAGTATCTAATTAAGTGTGCAAATATTTTTGAGTAGCATGTATTTTTATGACCTCATGGTTGTTGAAACATTAGCAATGTATGTACAGGTAAGATCTGTCATAGCAAGGACTTGATTTAACAACCTCTTTGTTCTTAAGTAACTCAATTACATACTTTCTATTACATACTCTAGAACACTTTACATACTATTTTATATTACAATTTCATCAAGTCTCTTAGTGCCTTTAGCACTATGACTAATGTTGTTACTTTTCATTCTTCTCCAAGATGTGGAGATAGATGTGAAGTTGAGAATCTTGGTGGTTTGGTCATTACAGACCATTACAGAATAATTTGCTGAAATTCGGAGTTATTTGGGGGTTATTTTCATCTACTTGTAAACATGCATTTAGTTCTTGGGATTTGGAACAGAAGGTGGTGAAGTACGTGCCAATTTTTAGCCTGTTTGCCCATTCACAGAAATAAACTGTGTATCAGAAATAGTGTGGCCAGCAGGACGAGGGCAGTAAATGTCCCCCAGTACTCGGCCCTGGTGAGGCCACACCTCAAACACTGTGGTCAGTTCTGGGCCCCTCACTACAAGAAGGACATTGAGGTGCTGGAGCAAGTCCAGAGAAGGGCAACAAAGCTGGTGAAGGTTCTAGAGCACAGGTCTTACAAAGAGTGTCTGAGGGAACTGGGGCTTAGTCCCAGGGCTCCCTACAGCTACCTGAAGAGAGGTTGTGGTGAAGCAAGGGTTGGTCTCTTCTCCTAAGTAACAAGTGATGAGAGGAAATGGGCTCAAGTTAAGTACTGGAACAGGTGACCCAGAGAGGTGGTAAAGGCCCCATCCCTGGAGACATTCAAGATCAGGCTTGATGAGGCTCTGAACAACCTGATCTAGTAAAAAAGGTTCCTGCTCACTGCAGAGGGGGTTGGACTAGATGTTCTCTAAAAGTCCCTTCCAATCCCACACACACTATGGTTCTAAGTTGTGCCAGGGGAGGTTTAGATTGGCTATTGGAACAGGCTGCCCAGGGGAGTGGTTGAATCACCATCCCTGGATGTATTTAAAAGTGTAGATGTGGTGCTTAGGGACATGGCAGTGCTACATTAACAGTTCAACTTGATTTCAGAGGTCTTTTCCAACCCAAACAATTCTACCATTCTTTGGAAAATTCTGCCTCTGTAAGTGTTCTCTATGAAGCTTTTTGTGGCAGAGGTAGGTAGATGCAAACTACGATGGTGGCCTGACAGCACTTTTAGCTAGATAAGGACTGTAAACTTAATAGAGAGAAGACACTTGGTATAGAAACTGGGTAACAAATCTCCTAAGGAGATGGGATTGCTGCCCCAGGTCTTTCTGGTTGCACGCTGGGGGTCTGGCTGATGGCTTCTACAAAACCCTGCTCACCTCCGAAAAGGCAAGGGCAGTGGTGCCAGGGGCAGTTCAACTGCAGGCTGTGGAGAGCTGAGGGCAGAAGCAGCCACGGGGGGCCGAGGCCAAGGAATGATGGGCACCTTCACTCCTAGCTTTTCTGAATTAACTTGAAAGGAGACCTAACACTAAATCTGATACACGTACATCTATGTATGTATATAAAATGTGTATTACAGTGTAGACAGTATGAATCACAGAATTTTTTGAGTTGGAAGGGACCTTGAAGATCATCGAATTCCAACCCCCCCGCACGGGCAGGGACACTTGCCACTAGACCAGGCTGCTCAGAGCCCCATCCAGCCTGGCCTTGGACACCTCCAGGGCTGGAGCCCGCACAGCATCCCTGGGCAGCCTGTTCCAGGGCTCACCCCCCTCACACAGAAGAACTTAGGAATGAATATCTGTCACTGTGCTCGATCTTAGCCAAAAGGCCAAGAAATGGCACGTTGGTCCTTCCAACACGGAAAGGCACGAGGGGATTCGAAGCTTTTACACGAGAAGTGCTGCTTTTAATTAGGTTCCGCGCATCCTACAGGAATTTTCGGCGGAGCATCCGCAGACCCCCC